CCCCTAGTCCCCATTATACAGTATAGCCGCCCCTTCCCCTCCACCCTCTGCTGCCCCCTACTGCCCATTAGACAGTATAGCCGGCCCTTCCCCACCCCACTCTCTGCTGCCCCCTAGTGCCCATTATACAGTGTAGCCGCCCCTTCCCCATCCTTATCCTCTGTTGCTTCCTATTAATGTTTGTACAATAGTGGATTATGTGAACCTACATTGTCATTTCTTCTCATGCACTCAGGAAATCTTTCTTACACCCCCATCAAATATTTCACACCCCTTTTGACACTGCCTCCTGGCCAATTATCGGTGAGGTTATGGTATAAATCCCACCCTGAACATCAGTGTTGGGATGTAGAGGAAGAAAGTCCAGGGGCAATTTTCCCTCTTCCTTTGGACCCTTCAATGAACGCTGAGACATCGCCCCTTGAATCATGCATTTGTCTTTATTTCCCGACCCATTCCAAGCCAGCCCCTTCTGGAAACCCCTGGCACATGAGCGTTTTGTGTGGAAAATCCCATTGCAGAATCGTTCTGTATCTGTCACCCCCAGCAGATTTTCCCGACTCTCCTGAGTTTCAGCCCAGAACTCGGTCAATGGTCCAGGCTCAGAGTGTGTCATCGTGGTACATGGTAATCCAAGCCATGAAGCCACTGACAGTTCTAAAATCAAATGGGCTGTTTTGAGGTGGTAGAATTTCTCTCAGGCTTGGTCTACAGCAGGCCAGGCCATTGGGTTTAAGGTCAACCATGCCAGCTATGCAAAATCATAGACTCCTAGGATTGGAGGAGACCTCAGGAGGTCATAGCTGGTGTTGCGTAGGCGAAACTGGTTGACCTTAAATCAAATCACCGTGGCGTCCCCACAGTGGAAGACCAATCGGAGCACAAGCTCCTGTCGGCTTCCCTTACTCCTTGCAGATCGAGGAATTCTGGGCACTGGCGAGGACTGTCCTCAATGTTCAATTTACTGGTTTGCAGTAAACCTCCTATATCAAATGCTAGATGATTGACCTCTGGGATTGACATTGGTCCTGCCTTGGACAGGGGGCTGGACTTGATGATCTCCTGAAGTCTCTTTGAATCTTCTGCTTCTATGGATCTTCTCCAAACAATGGGCACTTAAGAACAATTTGCACCTTCTCTATCAGCTTCATGTAACATGAACACTCTAATTCACTATTTCCCTCCCTTCCTTCTTCCCCACCCCACATCTCCTACTGATATTGGAACTGGACTTTCAATGCTCCAGTCATCTGAAGAAGTGGATTGTATCCACAAAAGCTCATGATGCCCTCCGCATGTTTTGTTAGTCTTTAAGGTGATGCTAGACGCCTCATGGTTTTGCAAGTTTTTGCAAATAGAGTGATTACTCCTCTAGACGCCTCATGGTTTTGTAAGTTTTTGCAAATAGAGTGATTACTCCAGCAAACATTTTGGATGAGCGTATCTGCGAGGAGATCTTGCAATACTTTTCCTGCTAACAGCTTGATTCAGCTAAGAACATGAGAAAGTCCAGACTGGGTCAGATCAAAGGTCCATCCAGCCCAGTGTCCTCTCTGTCGACTGTGGCCAATACCAGGTGCCCCAGAAGAAGGGAACAGAATAGGGAATCATCAAGTGATCTCTCTCCAGTCATTCCATTTCCTGACAATCAAAGAATAGGGACACCATTCCTGTCCATCCTGGCTAATAGCCAGCGATGGACCTAACCTCAATGAATTTGCGTAGCTCTTTTTTGAACCTCGTCGAAGACCTAGTCTTCACAATATCTTCCAGCAAGGAGTTCCACAGGTTGAATTTGTGCTGCATGAAGGAAAACTTGCAGGATTTGAAGCCAAACTTCCGGATCATGCTGCATGAAGAAAAACTTGCAGGATTTGAAGCCAAACTTCCGGATCAGAAGCAAACCTTTCTTGCTTTCAACATAACACCTTGTATGTCGATCAACAGTTTTCAACCTTTTTTGTTTTTCCTTTGGGGTATGTCTAGACTACAGGCTTACTTCGACATAAGTTTTGTCGACAGAATCTGTCGACAAAACTTATGTCGACATAGAGCGTCTAGACTACATCCAGTTCTGTCAACAAAGCAAGCCGCTTTGTCGACATAACAGAGTGGACGCAAAGGACAGTGTAAATGCAATAATGCCTTCTATCGACAGAACTCTGTCGACAAAGGCGTTATTCCTCGTAGAATGAGGTTTACATACGTCGACAAAACTGCTGAGTTTTGTCGACATTATGTCGACATAACTCAAAGGCAGTGTGGACGCAGGTATAGTTTGTCGACAAAAGTCCACTTTTGTCAACAAAACCCTGTAGTCTAGACAGACCCTTGCAGACCCCCAGCAAATCTGAAATGGAGACACAGACCCCTATGGAAATCTTAGCCATAGTCTGCAGACAGAGAGGGGTCTGTAGAGGATGGATTGAAAACCACTCATTTAGACAATCATGCCAAAAGCTTACTGAAGCAGACACGCGCTTGAGCTGATGGATTGTGATGTGCAGAAGAGAGGAAAAATGTATGTTTGTGTTATGTGTGTCTAATTTTTTCTACTAGTTGATTGTTGCTTGGTCTTGATTGCTCTGCGGCCTCCACAAATGAATGCACATAACGGCATTATTGAGAGAGAGGTACATTCATAAACCCATATAACCCTAGAACACTAGAACTGGAAGGGACCTCAAGAGGCCATCGAGTCCAGTCCCCTGCCCTCTCGGCAGGACCAACCTCCCAAAAGAAAGATCAGACAGACAGACAGGCAGCCAGCCAATAAGTGAAATACATGTCTTTGGGTTTGGTCATTATAATGGAAATATTAGTCAAACCATTAAATTGCTGCATGGACAAGGGCCATGGAAATTGTCTGTTCACTGTGTCTCATACTTTCCCATCTTCAGCTCTGGAACGGGTCGTGTTTCTTGCAGTCGTGGTCAGATTTATCGACATCATTTCAGATGCTCCACTTGGTGGGACTCATCTTTTAGCCTTCTAGACTCATGGAATCACATTATTGTGGGGTGGGAGAAGACCTCAGGAGACCATCAAGTCCAGGCCCCTGCTCAAAGCAGGACCAACCCCAACTCAACCATCCCACCCAGGGCTATGTCAAGCCGGGACTTGAACACCTCTAGAGATGGAGATTCCAGCCCCTCCCTAGGGAACCCATCCCAGGGCTCGGTCCCCATCCTCGGTCCCCAT